GGAATCTAGTTTCATAATTAAGACACCACCTTTAACCCGGTGGTTCCTTGATGAAGAATCCCGAAGGCATTCTGGAAACAGAGACAGACACTTTAATCTTTGTGCTCCCAGGACAGAGGTCAAATGAAGAACTTGCTGGTTTCATTATAAAAATAATTCACAATCCCTATAGTCATTTTACAAAATGTTAGAGATAAGAGATGTCAAAGGAGTAAATAAGTAAGTTAACCAGCAGCAATGGCCCATTTACCTGCTGCTCAGCTTTTAGTGCCAAAGAAAAGGCGGAACAATCCGTATTTTCCTCGATAGTACTTCAGTGGAGAACCTTGAGAAACGGGCTTCCCAGCCCATGGGGAAAGAAGAAGGGAAGAGAGAGAGAGAGAGAGAGAGAGAGAGAGAGAGAGAGAGAGAGAGAGAGAGAGGGAGAGAGAGAGAGTAAATGTGTTGTCAATTCACTCACTGAGGGTTGTTAAAACCAGCAGAAGATGCTGGCACTGCATATACCTCTCTTAGCCAGAGGCCACAGTCTCCATATCCAAGAGTGTTCCTGCACCCCAAAGCTGGTAACAGAGGAGATCATCAGCTGTCTTTAATAGAACTCATCTGGTCATTCTAAGAGGGAAAAGGAGACAATGAGGCTAAGTGACTGTGGCATCAAGTCAAGGAAGCCCCACCTCCGTGCCCTGGAAGTTCCCGAGGCAGAGGAGGATACTCACCCACCATGGGGTGGGTAGAGGTGATTAGGAGGCCTTAAGGAGTCTGGAATCTGACCCTGATTCCAATGAAGAAGACTAAAAATAGCTGTCTCCATGGTCTAGAGTGCTAGCCTGTGCTCCGTGACTTAAACCATTGTGAAGACCTCTTGCTTGTGCCCTGTCTCCCCTTGAAAGAAAAGTTTTGGAGGCCAAAGTGGTTACAACTGCCATTTGGAAAGCTCAAGGCCACCTCTGTGTAGGATAGCTATTGGTACTGGGCACTAAGGCTGCCATGCATAGATACTGCTGGTAATCGTGTTTCCCCTCTTCCTAAAACGAGCAACAGTGCAATCTAAGTGCTATCAGCAGAGCCCTAAGTTTACATTTCCAGGGAGGAACCTGGACACGCTCCATTAACCAGCATCCAAACAATTGCTCTGTGGTTCAAGTTCATCTTCCTTAACGGAGGTGTTAGCACAGCTACTGGTCTCTTTTCAAAGACCTTAATTCCTTCTACAAAATATCAGTGATAAAATCCCTTCAAGGTTGTAGCCATCAAGTAAGTGCCTGACCCAGAATAACCTATTCTGCACTCTAGCTAATTAGCATGGGGGTGTTGAGCCCTCCTTTTCAAATACTATCCCAAGGTCACTTACTTAGAAATTATGAAGTCAAAGAATATTAGAGCTGGAAGGGATGGTAGAAATGACTCTTCTCCCAATCCTATCATTTTATAAATCAAGAGAGGTCCTGGACTATGAGCTCAAGACCAGCCTGGGCTTCATAGTGAGGCTTGCACAAACAGAGAGAGAGAGAGAGAGAGAGAGAGAGAGAGAGAGAGAGAGAGAGAGAGAGAGAGGATGGAAGGAAGGAAGGGAAGAAGAAAGGAAGAAAAGAAGAAAGGAAGGAAAAAAGGAAGGAAGAGGGAGGGACTGGAGAGATGTCTCAGAGGTTAAGAGCACTGGCTGTTTTTACAGAGGACCTGGGTTTAGTTGCCAGCACCACATTGGGCCACTCACAATGCCTGGGACTCCTGTTTCAAGGCATCTAATGCTCTCTTCTGTTCTCCATGGCCACTGTACTCACAAGCCCCCACACAGACATATGTGTGTGTAAAAAATAATAGCAACAATAAACCAAGGGCTGGGGACATAGCTCAGAAGTAGAACACAGCTTGCCTGTGTCCTTGGCTCCATCTACATACCGAAGAAGAAAAACTAAGGAAGATCTTGAAAACATAGTGAATATTCACATCCGATTAGGAGTAAACGCAGACTCACTTTGAACTAGCAAAAGGATTTTTCAATGTTGTATATGAAGCTGTCATTCTTCTGGTCCCCTAGAGTCAAATGTGTCACTGCTCCTTGGTGTGTCCCTCCTCATCTCCTCCTTAAATGAAGCTCTAAGTCCTTCGGTTGCCCTTGAACTCTTTCGCGCGTGTCTGTTCTTCCCTTCCTCCACTTCCCTCACATAGACACCATGTCTCTACTAGAGACAGAAAAAACACACACTCATCACCGTGGGGCAGCGAGGTGATATTGGAGGTGTGCGAGATAATGGGGTTTGTGGGATTCTGGACCTTTGTCAACTTCATCTCAACTTGTCTTTCTCCACACTTTCAGCATGACTCAGAAGTTGGTCAACTTGGTTCAAGACAGTGCTTTGCCTGCCACAGCTGCTGTCTCTGCTTAGCTGAGCTTCCTAACAAAGATTCCATTCGGGAAGCCCTTCTCCTGAAGGTCCCTTCTACTGAGGCTAGGAATCAAAGACCAGACAGTCACAGCATGATTAACTCAGCTTTACTCTGAGAACAAGAGAATGCTAAGAACCGCAGCACATTTTCTCCTTCTCATAGAGATGCTCCTGCATTAAATTTATAGGACATGCATTCACAAGACGCACTGACCTTCAGGTGGGAGGCATCCTTAGAGCAGATTTTAAAAATCCATCACAGCTCTGCTCACAATTTACTCTTGTTGAGTAAACAGTTACAAAAGGAGATAACAGCACCCACCTCAGGGTTGTTTGTGAAGACTAAACTGCACCGTTTGACTTTCCCTCTTCAGGCCTTGCATGATGTCTGGCTCAGGGCTGCAAAATAATGGTTTGTGAGTTATTTTATCAGTGCAATTTTCTCTAAACTTCCTTGAAGAGCTTCTTTGGTTAGAACGAGCTGAATTCTGGAGAAGAATTTGGCTGGGAAGTGTTTTTCTCTTTGTGCAGACAGTGTCTGTCTGCAATGTCGAGTTGAGACCCGTGTTGGATGTGTAAGCCAATGTCCGGGAAGAATCAGCACTTGCACTGTTTTTGAAGTTGCCTTTTGTGTTCCAGTTGAGAGGGCTGGAAGTGGAATGTCTTCCTGGAAGCTGTAGACTCCTGGTGCAAGCCAATCCCCATCGTCTTCCTCAGCAGTCTCTCTCTAGTATCCTGCGATGTTAGAGCCCACACCCCTTACAGACAAGTTAGTGTACACTGTCTAAGGACATTGATGGTGGCCATGGCTTGCCATCTAACTAACTATTAGATGGCAACTGGCCATCTAATATATATTTCAACTGGCCCCAGACCTGCTTAGGGGAGGATAGAGCTTATTTTTTTTCTCTCTCACAAGACCCATCACCGTGTCCTGGATAAACTGGCAGACTGTCTGCTGGTGGATAGGGCTACAGTTATGGTTGTCCGACACTTTCAAAGTATCATTCCAGAGAGGGGCAGAGGAGCCTTCTCTGGGGCTGCTTGTAAATGCTGCAGGCTCTCACTTGATTGGGATGAGGAGAGTGGGGTGTTTAGGGAGGTCAAAATAGCATCTGGCTCCAGATTCAGAGAAATCTGAACTTTAGTTTGAAAATAATGTGTTGATCACATGACAGGAGGGTTTGTAAGAAGACATTCTGTTCAGATGGAAGGGTGCCAGTCAGCCCTGGTGGAGGTCCATGGAAGAATGTTCTCCAGTTCAGAGACCAGGAGAGAGAGAGGCAGAATTCAGCAGAGACAGCAAGCGCTGAGGTTGAGGATGGGACCCTCGGAACATTTTCCCAGAGATTTGCTGTGGAAGAGAGCAGATGTTAGTTATAAAGATCCAGGGGCTCAAAGCAATATACATTTTTTTAAATATACAGGTTGTATATTTTACCTTTTTGTTTGTTTATTTTTATTTTATGTACATTAGTGTTCTGCCTGCGTGTGTATCTTTTTGTGAGATCTCCTGGAACTGGAGTTACAGACAGTTGTGAGCTGCCATGTGGGTGCTGGGAATCGAATCTGGGCCCCTGGAAGAACAGCCAGAACTCTTAACTGCTGAGCTGTCCCCAGCCCTGAAACATATTTTTTTAATTGTTCTGGTTTCTTTATGCTAAATAGCCAAGACAGGGCAATCTATAGAGAACAAAATTTAATTCCATCCCAGTTCTAAGGTCTGAGAATATGAAGATGAAGCTATTGGGGTCCTGTGAGGGCCTCTGAGTCTCCTTGTATGGTGGAAGGTGAGAGAACCTTCCATTGTCATATGTTTGTGTTGTCATAGATCCATTCAAGAGGGTCAAAGCGTCATGACTGAACACCTCTGCAAAGCTCCATTTCCTAACACTCTAACACTGCTGCACTGGGGATTACATTCCTAACACATGAAGGGGACAGGGGTGGGGGGCGGGGCGGAGAGCACACACAGACCATAGCCTTTGATTATCTAGGTCAGTCAGAAGTCCAGTAGCGGGTCTTGGAGTCTTAGTGTTTAAAATAAATATCTCCTTTTGGATACTTCCCTGACACCTGAGATTTGAAACCTTAAGCTCTGAGGCCTGAACTTGGTTCTGCACTCTGCCCATCTCAGTAAATCCCAGTTCTTCAGTACAGGCTCAGCTCAAACACTGCAATTATCCACGAATCTTTTCCTATAAGCTCACCCACAATTCCAGTTAGTTCAACCTTCAGAATTCCATTCAAAATCTGGTTATCACCACCTACCTCATGGCTGGATCCTGTGCTAGCACTGTAACTGGCTCTGTGTCCTTTACTTGATGCCTGCAGCCAGGGGATCTCCAAGAGCGTAGGTTTGAGACCCTGGTTCAAAAAGAAAAGAAAAAGAAAAATGTTAGCAAACATCAGATGATGAATCAGTTATGCACAAACAAGGTCTAGAATACAAACACTTTACTGCTACCATTCAGTGTTTATACAGTCAATGGAACATTAAAGGGCTGAGTCTAAAGGATTTTTTTTGTTGTTGTTTTGTTTGTTTGTTTTTTGTTTTTAAGGTCTCTGGGCTGACAGTGGGCTGATGTGCTGTGTTTTGCTTTTGTCTGATAGGTCATTGCTTGTGAGCAGCAGTATGATTCATCCTATGACGCTCGTTGTGACGTCTGGTCTTTGGGCATCACAGCCATTGAGCTGGGCGATGGAGACCCTCCCCTGTTTGAAATGCATCCTGTGAAAATGCTCTTTAAGATCCCAAGGTAGGACACCAGATGGCGCTCTTGACTCATCAGTGCTTCCTGAAACCGGTCTCGGAGGGAAGCTAGTTAGTTGGTGGTATTCAATTTCTCTCCAAATCTGAGAAAGCCTGACTGTTCAAAAAGAAGAGAAAGAACAACAGGGTTAGAGGGACACAGGGGAGGATGTTTCTGCAGGATCATACCCCTGAGAAATGACACAAGCATGGAACGGTCGTCAATTGCCAATTTCCCCAGAGATGTGCATTTTGTGCTTTGCACAAGAGGAACAAAATGTGGTTTAGGACTGCATAGTTGGTTGGAGTACTGATGTTTTCTTTTTAAGTATACTTTCTCTAGTATTTGAAATTCCCCCCCCATACATATTACTGTATACACTCAGACTAGCAGTGACTCCTGTCTGAAAGGTGTCATATTAACCATATACTGCATTCTTCACCCCTAACGTCCTGCTCAGTGGGACAGTCCTCTCAGAGGAGTCTCTGGTGATGGCTTAGATGCAAGTGTATTTTCTACTCTATGTCATTCAGGGTCTGTACACGAAGTGTGCTTCTTGACCTGTGTTAGGAAGCTCAGACGAAGGGAAGCCCAGCCCAGACCAGGTGTAGATTGGTAGATAATCTGTATTTTCCAAACGTCTCTTTCAAAGGAAGACTCTGGGCTGCTGAGTTGAGGTCACAATACACGTGTTGACCTTTCCTTATCCACACAAAAGCACAGCTATCTGCAGCTTTTACAAATTTCTGGAGATTGCAATTTGCATTTGTGATTAGGTCTATTTATATGCAGATGGAGCTCTCCAGCATTCATCACCATAATATTATCTCTTTATACCTAGTCCAGATGTGAACAAACCAACAAACAATACTCCAAAAACAGTCCCTCACTCAAGTCAGGCTGGTCTTCTTGCCTTTCCCCAAACACAGAAACAAGTGATTGTGACCAGTGGAGCAGATGAGGCTTCTGGCTTTTTAATTAGTAGTCTGGTGAGCATTCAAAGGGAGGGAAGGATGCAGGAGCCAATAGCAGCACAGGGAGCAGTAACTTGTCAGGAGATGAGAAACAGGGTCTGGAAGGGTTTCTCTGAGCCTCTCAGTATGTTACAAGGGCCTGCTCACTGTAGCAACATAGTTTCCCAATAAGAGATCGTCTACCTAGGTATATTTATTCTTTTCTTTTTAAAAAAGTATGCATTCATGTACATATCAAATGTTCAAAAATCTCCTAAGCTGATAAAGTCATTCAGCCTAAGAAGGTGTGTGTGTGTGTGTGTGTGTGTGTGTGTGTGTGAGAGAGAGAGAGAGAGAGAGAGAGAGAGAGAGAGAGAGTATGTGTGCGAGTGTACATGCATTTGATTCAATAGACCCTTCATCTCTGGTAAGCATTTAGCTAACTCTGTGTCCACAGCCTCTGCCCTCTGATCATCTCTATTCTAGCACTCTGTCTGCATCTTGCATTTGGGAGAAGAAGCCTTCGGGTCTAGAGTGAAAGACTGAATGCCCTCTCCCTACCTTGATGCAGAATGGCTCAGAGGACAGGGGCAGCTGCAAGTAGCTCGTCTTTACCCAGTGTAGGCTGAGGCAGTTTCTCTCCCTGAAACTTCCTGCCTCTTTTTCCTGTTCAGACAATGGATCAGATATCATCAGACTCTGTGCAATTATCTGGACTCAACATTTGCCATCATCACAACTCCAGGGCTCTGGCTTGGCATTCTTGGGCAGGAAGAGGAGAAAATGCTGCTCCCTTGCTTAAACTGTGTAGCTGCTTTCTTCTTAAACCCGGAGAGAACTCTGTGGGTTTATATTCACCAAGTTATTTCTTTAAGAATTATCCTATCAGGAGTGCACAGCTCTCTTTGAAGGGTTATGGATTGACTAGAGCTTTGTGACCATGCATACTGGTTCTGAGTGCTGAGTGTATCATTTCCTCAGAAGGGCTCTTAGATGAGGAAGGAGGAAATGAAGCATTTACATTTTTAAAGTCCTTAAGTTACATTTATTTACCTATTGGGAGGGTGTGTATATGTGAAGAGGCCAAAGGACAACTTCCATCCTTCAGATCCCAGGGACTGAACTCAGGTTGTCAGGCGTGGCAGCGAGCATCCATTGAGTTGCTGCACCAGCTCTCATTTATGTATTTTAAAAATCCAGCTGAATTGTTGAATTTCTTCATGGGAGTAGGTCCTCCCTGCCCTCCCCTCCCTTCCCCTTCCCTGCAAATAACTTTAGTTACAAAAACCCTTGATTCTACTTGGCTTCAGTCTCCATCCCCCCATTTGAATGTATTTTAAGTGTACTGGAATTTTCTTCAATTAAACAAGTATATATTTGATGATACCCTGAGGTCTAGAAAACATGTGGCTTCCTTTCTTGGACTTCCCTGCTGGCCTCTTCCTTGCAGTCACTTTATTCCTGGGGATAAACTGAGTAAATGACCCAGTGGGGGTAGCAAAGCCGAGCTTGACTGAGTTATGGGAGAAGCGACTTTCACAAGTTACAAAGGACTTATGAGTTAATGACCTTCCAGTTACCCGGGAAGTGAGAGCTTCAGATGTCAGTCCAGGCAGTAATTACACAGGTCTGGGCAGTCAGAACCAGGCAGCGGACCTGCCCAGATGCGTTTGACCTGCTCCCTGTTGCTCCCCTCTGCCTTCCCCTCTCTCTTGACCTTCACATAACACGATAACAAACAGCAATCGTGACCTGTCTTTGAAATACTGTGACTCACAGTTCTTCCTACGTTGCAAACACACAGAAATTATCTGCTGATTGGCACAGCATCCACTATTTGCTGAACCTGTCAGCATGTGTCATCTTGTCTAACGCCTTTGCTCAAAAAAAAAAAAAAAAAAAAAAAAAGTCACCCCCTGACGGCTGGTACTGTCTGCTGCTATTTTTTTCCTGGAGTTAGCAGAGAGGAAGAGCATGAAGCCATTTCTGAGCATCTGTAGATTCCCTTCTTACGTGTCTTTTCCTTGAAGATGCTATGAAGTTTCCAAAGGCTTGGATCATATATATATATATCATATATATCTATTATATATAATACAATATATATTTATATAATAATATATAATATAATGTAGATTTCACTTTAGAGGGAATCTGTTTCACAGTTATAATTTCAGAATCAGTAGGGTTAAGAGAAATGTACAATTATGTTGGTTTCTTGGTAACCATGTTTCTTTCTTTAGCTCAGAGCCTTTAGTTAATGACCCCCTTTGTTCAGAAAGGCAATGGAAACCTGTGTGGGTCACCATGTGGGTTGAGTGATCAAGCATTGAGAACCACATTGTGCATTTATTTACTCGGAGCCCGATGAAGAACAGCTTTGCTCCACTTTATTCTCTGTAGAAAGAAGGAAATGGGAAAGAAAAGTAGCCCCTCAAGATTCCCAGTAGAAACTGGCCCAATCATTCCAATCTCCAGAGCTGGTGATTGTCTTCCGCAAAGAGAACTCTGCCTGCAGCCCAGTCCCAGAAGGGGAGGAGTCGTGGCAATCTCTGCTTCATGTTTCCATCACTAAAGCTAGGAGTTCCAGAATCACCTGTCCCCAACTGACTGAGTTTCCCAGGGATGGCACACCAGATTACCAGAAATTCGATGGGTTTGAACAATTGACACTTACTCTTTAGTCCTTCAGGCCACAGTCAAAGAAGCACAATCCACCGAGCCGTACTTACTCCTGAGCCTCCTGAGGAGCTGCTTCTGGTGGCTTTTGGGGGAATTGGCTCTCCTGTCTTGTCCTTCATAGCCCTCTGCACTGTGTCTTCCTCTTCAACTCTTCCAGAGACATGGGATCCCAATCCAGTATGAATACATCTACCGGGCAATAGCCATGCCGCCACTGTCATAGCTACAAAGACCCTGATTCCAAATGAGGTCATAGTCTCAAGTCATAATTGAACCCGATACATTAACCAGCTTTCTTGTCACGGAATTCCCTGTGAAACTAATTTGGAGGTAAAAAACCCATACACTTAGCTAATGGGTGAGAAGAAGCGAATAGGAGAAACAAATGATAGGAACTTGCTGCTGAGACCTTGCAAGTGCTAATAACTCTGGCAGGTCTGGCATTCTGTTTCACCAACATGCATGCGAGCCCCACAGTGACCCTGGGAGGTGGATGATGGCACCAGTCTGTCTCTGTGGCTGGTGACTGAAAGCCCACAGAGGTCTTGCAGCTGGTTCCTTGTCTGCACATAAGGAGGAAAAATGCTATGACTATGAGGAGTCTGGCTCTAAAGCTCACTTATTTTGCTAGTGTACTGAAATGTTAAACCCTCCCCGAATTTAGGCCCAGCAGTAATGGCTCCAGAGTGCAAAGACAGATAGGCACTGGTCCAGACCGTAAGAAGCTTAAGTGTAGCTTCCTGCCCCCACTCCAGACTTTAGGCTGATGTTAGTGACCTAGAAGCCAGAGACTGTGTTAGCACCGGTGATTGTCTCAGTCAAGGAATTGAGAGACAAGTGCCATTGCAGGCACACGGGCCATCTCTAAGGACTCATCAATTTCTGACCCCCAGACCAGAAATCCATCCCCTCGTCAAGCTTCCCTTCAAGCAACTGCCTTTTATTTCCTAATTTAGAACGCTTAAGCGCTTGACCTGAAGGTCTGTAAAATGTTACATAAGAGTAGAGAGATGCTTCAGAATAGAATCCTTTGCATCCAGAAGTTTCTGTTCATGGCACACTAATAGCAAACTGGTATCTGCCTGGCCAGGGCTATTTCTGGAGTAGCCAATATCTTCCCTCTTGATCCCCCCCCCCAGTTTTCCCTATTATTTCTTCAGTCAGAAAACTTGCACTGGGTGCTAGGGAAATCAAAGCCTGTTTCTGGCATCCTGAGCTGGAATGCATTTTCTCACGAAAGCAGTATTTTTAAACATCTATTTAGGAAGAAGTGATATTATAACTGGCGCTCTCTACTTTGGGTATGTTATTAGACTTTTTTGGCTAAATAAAGTTTTACAGCCTGGGCTGAGGACTAGTCTCCACTAGAAT